TTTACATGGCCACAAGGACTTATCTAGTGTTTGCACTGCCTGATTTGTCAGTTTGCATTCCTCTGTGTAATGCCATATTTACACAGATGCCCTATGACCTGCCAGTTATGCTGGTGTGACTGCCATTACAGGTATCCTAACCTAATCATTAGTAACAGTTGCCATAATATAAATATTACATAGGTGATTATCTAAATTTTCACCATCGATAGGATTTGAACACCCAACTTACCACTTGGGGGTTGACAACCTGACCACTTCACTAGGTTGCTACACCTCTTGATGCATAATATTTCTTTATCATGTTTTATTTAAATCTTTTATAGAAAATTTCTTAATAATAAATTAAAAGCAAAACTTAATGAGTTAAAAGTATCTGGCTTTTAAATTTGCAACTATCAAAATATGCAAAAAGACTTATCTATAAATAAGTAAAATATTATAATAATACAAGTTAAAAGTCTTTTTCATATTAAGTTCTCAGCCTGTTTATTTGTAGCTATTTTTAATGAAAGCAATGCTATTATATATCAAATGTCTAGTAGTACAAATAATAGAAATCTGTGAATGCAATGCATGATGTATTAAGATTAGCAAGACATGTATTGGCAATAGATGCCTTTACAAATAAATCAACATTAGCATTTCTTAAGACATATCATAGAAAAGATATTTATAAAATTGATAATAAATACTAGCCTTATATGGGTGAGATGGTTGAAATTCTTTATAATCTAAATAGTGAAGCTAAAGCTATAAAAATAGGTTATAAGTTTTTAAGGCAGGTTAAACATATGGCATTTGTATTTGTTGAAGCAGTGATAGCTAGAGCATTAATAAAAAAAGTGTTTAAGTTATTTAAATCTGATAATTTACCTATTAGAACCTGTGCATACTATGGAGATATAGATAGAAAACAGAGACAAAAAGACTTGTTCAATATCAATGTCACTTGAAATGAACTTGATTGTGGCTTATATAAATACAGTAGAGACTGGCATATCTTTTGAGGTTATAAGCTACTTTAATATAGTTATAACTATTATGAACATTACTACTCTAGTATACATTAAAGTTTTTGTACAAATGCTTTATCAAATATGTGATTGTTCTCATCATATTGTTTCTCTATTTTATTAGAAAAATTCTAATAAACTTTTTTATCTATCAGGTCATGAAATTATTCAAGCAAAACTTGCTAGTGCTCAGCCTAATAACTTATCTACAGCAATAAAGATTTATTATAAATAAAATAGCTATGCTGTTTTTTATAAAATTAATGAATTTCTAGCTATAACAATATTTGGGAGGTGTCAATAGAAACCAAGCAAATTGTTTTTAGTGAGTTTTTTTAAAATTTTAAATTAAAATATCTTAACAACTATTAAACTAATCTTGGTGAATTTTTTTTTTCTTTTAATTATATAACTATATAAAATTAAAATAAAAAAATTTTCATTAAGTTTAATTTAATAATTGTTAAGATATTTTACTTTAAACTTTAAAAAAAATTTACTTAAAAACAATTTGCTTGGTTTCTATTGACACCCTTCTATTTATTGAAGTTGAGTATCAAAAACACCTTTTTGCAAGATATTTTATTAAAAAGCTTTGTAGTCTTATTATTAATACTGATACTTCTCTTTAACTTATAAAAATAGATAAAAGTCAAGTAGTTATAAAAATTGTAAAAGTGTTCACAATAAGGTTAGAGTTAAAACATTAGTTATCAAAGAAACTGATTTTAATGCAGTTGCTACTTTTCAGAATTTTAATTTTGAAGAAGCAGAAAATTTTAAGTTTGATCAAGAATATTTTATTATAGATATTATGGCTTTTAAACATTTCTATATGTAAAATGCTTATGGTAATAAAAACTTGAATATTGAAGATTAGAATAATCTTTGTAATAAAAAGTTTGTAAAATATTTAGTCAACCTGAACCTTAGAGATATTTCTTATAGTTGTCTTATTTTCAAAAGCAAGAATATAACAAAAAACATGTAACAGAAGAATTGGAAGCTAAAAATATTGTATAGTAAAAGGATATCTGTTATAAATCTAAAGATAATTTTAAAAAATTAGTAGCAGAGAACTTGTATAAAAACTATTTAGCTAATTATTAAAAAGTTATAAAAGAACTCTTTCAAATATTAGGCTTTACTAACATTGATAATAAACATATTTTTTCTAGCAATATTGTATCAAAAGCATTCATATGATTCTGTAAAAGGTTTATAAACTCCTAAATTAATCTCTATTGCTTCTTGGCTTTGAGTTTTATGCTAAGATAACATTGGATCTTAACTTAGCTATAAGGGTAATTAATACAATTGTTAAAAATTGATATAGCTATACTATAAAGATAAATAGGAAACAAATAGAGTTTAAAGAAAAACAAGTTTAAAAATATTCATATTGAATTAATTATTAGCCATATAATGGTCTTGGTTTTGGAAATAATAGTACATTAGAACTTCTATTATATAGGCCAAAAACAGATAATAATATTTAAAAACTTTTTGATTCTATGTCAGCTCAGAGCACTTATTATTTAGCTAAGTATTTTGACCATATTAGAGTTTATTATATTTTTTTGCCTTCAATCTAGACATTTTTATAAATTCTATTATATATACTACAGATTTTAATATAAGAATTAGTTAACTTATTGCAAATAAGACATAATTTTTTAGGACATGTTTTATAGTATATAACATATCTTGAAGCATGCCAGCACCTTTTCTTACAAATTGAACCATTTTTCTTGATATATTGATAGGATAAATAATTTATACAAGATAATTTTAATATTAATAATTTCAAAACTTCATCTTTATTTTTATTATAGATATTTAAAAATATGATATTATAGGTGGAATATTTTTTTTTAAATTAAACTTTTTCCTACAATATATAATTTGAAAATATAGATTAATCTAACTATTACTTATATTTTATATACCTTATTATGTCTATTATTACAACCAAGTTTATTACAGATTACAAACTCACTACTAAAATGAGTCTTGAAGAACTTAGCTGATATGCATCAGAAATACATGAGCTCTTAATAGATAATAAAAAAAGAAGACACCAGACTTATAATCATCATATAAAAAGATATAACTTTACTAAAAAGCAGGTATTTGCATTGATTCCTCTTTAGAGAATTAGATAATACAAAAGTCAAGCACCTCTTAAAAAAGAAAGGTTAGAAGCTGAAGAAGTAAATATATGCCAGATATCTGATAATACTTGTTTTGAAGAAACTATTAAAGAAACAGCTCAACATATTGTAAATAATAAACTTAGTAAAAAAAATATAAAAATGATATCTATAACCTTAATTAAAACTGCTTCAGATCCTATTATTGCTTTATTCTGTCTCTCTAAACTTTGAAAAGAATTATGAGTTCTCAATACTTCAGAAAAAAATAGTTTCTGCTACATTAAATCTAGAGATAACCAGTTTATTTAATAAAGTTTAAAAAGAGTATAGCAAACAATGCAAAAATAAAAGAATTAATTTTCCAAACTATTTCTTGTTAGAATCAGTTAAGGAGAGACTGGATTTGTATAATGTATCTAATATATCTAACAAGCAGACCCTAGTTGATATAATGATAATGCTCTGCATTTGTCTTATTAAAATTAAATATCTAATAAAACTATAACTAAATATATAAAAAACTGATATTAATAAGATATTCCTCAAGTGTTTAGATTATTGAAAAAGAATGAGAAGTGGGCAAGAGAATTACTTATATGAATTCAAGAAGCAATCATTTTTGGAAAGTTAAGAGATTCAAAAAAACTTGTATCTATATACTTAAGTACATTTCTAAAAAAAGACAAATTTATTTCTAAAAGTGATAAATCACTACTTCTTAGCTCTTTATGCAAGTTAAAAGCAATATTTGTTTCTGTAACATATGGATCTAAAAATATATCAAAAGTTAACATTTATGCTAGTGAAGCTCTTTAGCATTTATCTAATAATTATGCTTTTTTATATAAGAGATACATATAATTAATATGTAAAGAAAAGAAGAACTATATAATTAAACAAAGGCATTTGAGCTCTTTAATAAAAACTGATTGCATAGATGAACTAAATATTATTTATTAAATTTTATTTTTTTATTAGTCTAAGCTTATGTCTTTTCATAATAAATCATTCAAAGTTACTCAAATAGATAAATATATTTTTTTGAAAATTAATTTTTTAGAAAGTTAATTATTTTTATTGTGTCTTTAAGCAAATATTTGCAGAAGGCAGCCTCAATATCAGATTTATTATTGGATTCAGATTCAATTAGAAACTTATTTTTATCTTCATCTAAGAACTCAGATATAGTATTATTAAAAATTACCTTTTTATTTTAGCTTTATATAATGTACAACTTAGTTAACTTATTCTAAACATGGATATTGGTTCATGTCAGTTGAATTTTTTATAAAAACTTTATGCAATTGTTGAAGAGTAATCTTTGAAAATAATAGAAGTCCTTTTCTAGTAAAATAAAACATTTTTACTCTCCTATTAATAAATTTCTATATTAATATACTTGAAATATTTTCCAGAAAATTATAGAATTTCTTAAACTTTTGAAGATATATTTTTGTATTTTTATCAGCTTCTTCTGCTATTTCTTTATTAAAATAACTGACAATACCAAGTTCTTCCTAAATTTCTATTATATTTATCTTTAAATATAAAAGCAAATTATATATTTTTCCAAGTGATATATCTATAAAAGCTTTATTACTTTGATATTCTACTGCTAGAACAGGATTACCTTCAATGTCAAAATTTTTTTGTATTGGTATTAAATTTTCTACTAATTCTAATAACAGCTTATATGAATCAGCAAATATTTTTGCTTTATTGCTTTGATGCTCTGCTATTTGATTTGCATTATTATTAATATTGAGTTTTTTCTAAATAGCTATTATATCCTTTTTCTTATATAAAAACACTTTATATAATTGAGCAAATGTTTTGTTTCGATTAGTTTTATTATTAGTATTATTTGATATAATGTCTTAATAAAGTCAAGATATATTTAATTCAGAAATTTTTAAGTTTAGAATACTATAATTAGCTTAAAAGATTTTTTGCTAATTCTCAATGCATGTACTCTTGTATAACCAAATGAAAATTTTTATTTAACCAAATATATTACATTTTAAAACTAATATAACTCATAATAATTTCTGCTATATAATTACAACTTATCTAGAAAAAGATCTTAGTCTTTAAATTTCATCATACTTATCTCAAGTCTAAAAAAAAAAATAAACAATTTTATCTAACAAAGTCCATACATACTGCATTAATATTGTTTTATCTCAGATATAAGTTAACATTATATAGTAAAATATTTACTAATATATTCTTTTCTATAATCGATGAATGACAGTGAAACTCAATTTTTATAGTACAACTAGTATTATAATATATAGCATACTTATAGTTCAACACATGAATAAATCTTCATCTTAAATTATGATCTCAAAAAGTTATATGTACTAATACTGTTATGCATACCTTGGATTAATAAATTAATTATTATGAAATAATATCTGTATTGAACTTATCATGTTTTTGCTCAAACTTTCTAACATATTCTCAGTAGCATATATATAATACATAGTCTATATATCGAAATTATTACTAAAGTTTCTATAATATAAGAAATAATATGCTAGCTTTGCTACTTTTACTAATAAAATAAAATAAATTTGTTAATGATCAATGATAAGTAATTTTACTTCTAAATATAATTAGAATGCTAAAATTAAATCTAACATCTAATCAAAATTGAATAATATTACACAAATTAGGTTTCAGATAGGATCATATATTATTCTAATATTATTCAGAAATTAATTATCAATTATATAAAATTTATTGCAGAGCAAATAACTTTTTAGATCTATATATTAATCAAATCTTGATATGCCAGTTATTATTATAATTGTAAATATTTATCTAATTTACTAGCTTTAATAAATATTATATACCTTAATTTATATTATCTAGACTGTATATTGTTAAGTTTTTAGAATCAGATCTTCTTTTTTAACATCTAAATCTTATACTTATATTCAATAATGATGCAATAAATAATATAATTAACATTTTCCAGTATGTTCTGACCTTTACCAACAGAAACAATAAATTAGATTTATTACAAAACAATATCACTTATATATTTAGTTATAAAATTTTGTATAAAAGAAATCCAAAAATCTTTAGTCAATTCTTCTATGCTCTATTACTAATATCTATAAAAATAAAAAATAAATTTTTAATAAACTTTAACATCTTATACATTAACTTTAAAATAATAAAAATATTTTGTAAACATAGTTGTCTTGCTAATAAACCTACTTATATCATCTGTTTTACACAAATTAAAGTTGATATTTATTTGTATATATGCTAGGTTATTTCATATTCATATATCAGTAGTAATAATTTTTTTTTGTTAATAGATGACTTCGATCAATATTTCAAAAATTGCACTATTTTTGGTCTTTGTATATCTAATAATATTTGCTAAGAAAATCATTATTTATCTAATTTTTATTGGCATATGCTTTGCCATATACCTTATTAGACAGCAACTTATTACAGAAATTAATACTAAAATTATTAATGAACTTACTACATACCTATTTGAAATTAATTCTTCTTCTATTACAGAACTTAGCAAAATTAATACTTAACTTAATGATAAACTTAGGGCAGAAATTAAAAAAAAATATTTTACATAATGTTAGCTATGCTTCTGAAATATAGAAACTTTTTAATACCATGATTACAAGAATTAATAATATTGAAGAAGTATGCTATAATAATTTTGTCTTAGTTAATGCTTCTATTAAGCTTTTTAAAATAGATTAATTCAATATTATGCAATTATCAAAAGAAATTAACCAATCAAAGTTAATCAACAAAGTGTATCTAATCATTCTAAAGCATCAAATCGATCTCATACAAGCTCATCTAGAAGTTTATCTAACTTGAACCAATTAACATTTATAAGTATTAACCTTATTGTCTGAAATCAATTTAAGCAAATTTTTAATCAAATTAAAACTGAAAAAAATTTATCTTAGAAGAGGTAACAATGAAATTCATGAACTTGAATGAAATATTAAAAAGATAATTATATAAAGATTTTATGAAAAAAATATAAAGAAAAAAAATGGTTATATTAGTACACTAGACCAGATTGGTTTATAAATAGATAGTAAAAATAATGATAACTTAGCTAATAATATGAAGTAGTAGAAAGGAACACTCATTTTATGAATTAGAGTTTGAAAAATTCATCTTTTTAAACATCTACTACTCCATTTATAAGCTTTTACTTAGCTCACTCTAACCTATTTTTATTCTTATAATAAAGTTATATTCTATTATTACTTGATTTTTAAATGTATCTGATTGTAAATTTGAAGTAAAACTTCATTGCTATACAATCAAAATTAAAAGTTATTATAATCTTTTAGTTTGAGGTTTGTGTAGTATATATCATCAATACTAGCTTATGGCTTATGTATAATTTATATGTATAATTTGTTAGGAGCTCTAATTTCTCTCACTACTTCTGATTGGATGCATTAAATATTGCTATTGATTGGATAAAACAATTCATGCCACCTTAAGATGTCAACACAAAATAATAATAATAATAATAATGATTAATTGCCAAATTACCTTTACGAAAATAAAATTTTATCAAATTCATATAAAATTTTTATAGCATTAAAAATTTCAAAATATAATTCAATTATTGTGCTTTAAGTTTTTTTATTTATATTTTAATTCATTAGAAAATGTAACTTTAAACTTATTTTTTACAAGAATGTCTATTAGTACTAAAAAAGTTTACTAATATAATAAGAAAACTGCTATTTTGCTCAATAAAAATACTAAATATTTGGGAATTTATTTTTTTTTTTTGCTTTAAACAAAATTTTTTAGTTCTTTAGTTTAAATATACACTGCAAGAAAAGTGTTGCCAGCTAAAAGTCTTAAGCATATGTGTACAAAAAAATAAAAAAGAATTAATACTTAGTAATTACTTTGTTTTGTAATTTTTGTATTTGGTGCTAGATAAGGAATTCTTAACTCATTGTTATCATTATTGGTAGCATAAGGAACAGATTCTACTCTTGCAATTCTTGCCCATTCTATTTGAGTAACTTGCTGAATTGTGATTTGTAAATTATAGATATCCTCTCCCTCCTTACCTTTCTATTCTGCAGAAATTGCATTAAGTTCTTCTTGCAATTTGCAAATTGAAAATTTTTATCAGTTCTTTGATCTGTGAAAAGTTTGTTAGAATTAGAAAAATCTAATTCCATAGGTAGTAGTAGTAGTTAATCATCTTCTATATCTTTATATACATAGTCTTATGCCAATATAGCAAACACATGTTTGCATAATAATTGCCGTAATTGAAAATTATAACAATTACAAATATAGGAGGCATTATCAAAACTATTTTTATCACTTATAATATCTTTTTTTCTAACTGAATACTCTATATTATCATTAGTTAAAGAACATATTATCCATAGATCAGGTTGAATTTTATAAATATTATGGCTGTTAATATATATAGACCCTGCAATTTCCTGAATATGTTGCTAATGCTGTTGTTGATTCATTCTGCCAATTTTTAATTCATTTTGAAAAACTGCAAAATTCATGTCACAAAGTACAACTTTTACAAGAAGATGAACTTCACCATCAAGTCATTAACCTATTAGAATAAAATCGAAGTTAGTTAAAAAAAAAATAAAATAAGATAAAACAAAACAAAATAAAATAAATAATATATCAAAAATAAAATAAAATAAATATAATAAAAATAAATAAATACATAAGACAATTACTATTTGTACATAAATGTATATACTCAGATGATATCAAAACCAGCCAATATCTCAAAATTTCAATTATGAAACCACCTTTTGGTTTCTAATAAAAAAAATTCTTGGCAAAATTTTGGTATAAATGAACTATATCTCACTCCAATTCTAAATTCATACTTACTATAGCTATATGCAAGGGTTTGATTTTTGTTTATAAAAATTATAGTTGACATGAATTTTAAATTACAAAATTAATACCATCTATCATACTTTCTATGTACAATTATAATAAATGAGTGCTGCAAAGCAAAAAGCTAAAATTAAATATTTAAGTTCTTATCATGGCAATTTTATACTTACTGATTAACAATAGGTTAATAGTTCAGCAACAATAACAATACATTCATATAAAATTTTACTAAATAATTAGGATGTAATATCAGAATTCACAAGACTATATAGGTTAAATTTACTATAATGAAAACTTAAATATTCATTTCCAGCTTTTTGCTCTGTAGCACTTAAATAATATAAGTCATAAAGCATTTATTAAACTAATCAATACCTGGTCAGCCTCTCATATAAGTATACTTGAGTTTATAATGAAATGATTCAATTAAATTATTCATATCCATTATATCTCTAGTAACTCCTCTTATACAAACTATCTATATTTCATATTTTGGCTTCCACCAACATGCGAAGTAATTTGCAAAATTATTTATTATCTTATTATCTGTTTCTTTTCATTAATTAGTTGCACTCACTATCTGTATTTGAGCTTCACAATCACTCCATCCTTCTGTCTTTAATAATCACCAAAGATCATTCCAAACAACTTCTTTTTGTAAATCAATATTTGTGCCATGTTTATGGCACAGTTTTCTACACCAAGACCATAGTACATAAAAATGGCACAAAAGTACAGAACTATCAGGAAAACAGTCTTGAAATGATTTAATTTCTTCTCTAGCATCATCAACTATAAAAATATCTAGTCTTCATCTTTCATTCTTATGCTTTAAAAAATTAAACCATTCTTTTAATATTGATGTTCATTTAAACTCACTTATTAAGAATATGACTGGGTATCCACTTTCTATAACTAGATGCTGTATAACAAGTGTAAATAAATAATACCTATGACTATTTGTTCTATATGTTTCATCTAAACACACTACCCTTGCAAATTCTATTAATTGTTTCTGCTCTTTGGTTTGAAACATAAACATGAATCTGATATTATCTATTTCATTATATTTTCTGAATATACAAACCCTATTCTTGCTAATGATTCTATTTTGCCACATTTCC